GCCGCAATATGTGGCACACTGTGGTCTAAAAACTAGCTGCTCGCACCCAGACATCCGAGAGTGCTTCCAATACAGTGGTCCGGATTTTGATATTGCCAGCTTGTCTTTTTGTAGGTAAAGGTACTGTACGTCACACACCAACACAACTGATATTATTCAAACTCGTTGGGCACAAAGACACCCGTACAAGCTAGACATTTCGACAGCTACATTCTTTCAGAAGTGAGGCACATTACCGTTTGTTTTCCATCCTCATGTCGACTTTTACAAGTTATCTTTACAAGTTGCGTACTCACATCCAGGGTGCTTTCTTTGATTCGAATCTACTTATATAAAACTGTTAAAATGTCTCTCGTAGTTTCAATTCCCATAGAATGCCCCTAGTTCCCGATACTTCTCGCATAAAATGCCCCTCGCCGTTACTGTACCTCGCTAAATCATGTGGAACATGTAATATCGTAACAAGTGGATAATATGGTCATGTAAAAATTCGATTTGATACTAGTAGTATTAATAATATACTTGACATATCTATGCTTTGCAAAAACTAAGTACGCGTGTAGGTTATCTAGAAAGGTTACATATTTACTGGTATTGGTTTTGTAACTACGAGGGGCATTATACATGTGATATTAGTCCCAGCGTTCGCTATTAAAATGACCACGCTGGGACTAATATCAAATGTGGTTTCGAGCAGTCTTTCTAAGTTGCTGGCGATTCCGAGCTTGTTTCGTCACCTAGCAAGTGATCCAATTCGCCATCACCACAGTATGCGTTTGGCTATTATTTTGCTAGCAACTACGGCCACTTTTCTCGCAAGGGTGAACACCTTCTCAACAGGCCAGAGCACGGACCATGCTGTTAAACCAAGCGAATCAAACAGCAGGCTTCGAACCAAAGATGGCACCAAGAACCTCGAGGGGTTCTGGAAGGGTACTGGCAGCATTAACTCCGACAGTGACTACGGTGCCGCTGGGGAGCACGGATCCTGACGGCTTAACCAAAGAAGAAAGAGGTCTGGTATCGTGGTACATGCTATTGGGGCCATTGTTTAAACAGCCCCATGAAAAGGCCAAACCGGTTGAAAGTTCGGAAAGAGTCGCATAATACCACCTTTTCGTACGGAGGACGTAGGCAACGGCCAGGTGAAAGTTATCCCAAGAAGAAGGTAGAGCGCAAACACTAATTTGGAGACAAGAAGAGTAGTGCAGCGTCTAATCCGGATTTTCTAGTGAAGCCTGGATGATCCCGTAAACCTTGCAGAAGCTGCCGAAGATGGTGGTGATGACATTCAACGAGTGAAGCGATGTTATCTTCAAGACTGGAAATTGCAGTTTGTTCATGTCTTTCTCAAAGCAACGGTCTGTGGGCTATTTGATGAGCCGCACTTAACCATTTTATCATTTTTCCTCTAGTCACTCTTCTCAGCCGGAGACGCAGAACTGCTCACCACAATTTTCAGGAACAGAAGCGAGTATGCAGCTGCCACGGAGCAGGCCACCTTCAATTGCAAGTCCTCACCCAACTGGGAGATGCCCCAGCTTCCGCTGTATACACCGAGGATAACACTCAAACCTGTTGGCACAAGTTAGTTAGTTTTAGACACTGTAGTCTAGTGACTAGCTGCACACACCTCCGCCCAGGAATGCCAGAGTGCCTCCAATGCGGTGGCCCGGGTTCTTCCATTGCCAGCTCGTCTTCTTGCCGCCAAAAGTGGTGGCGAGGCCCTGCAAGTCAACACACGTCATAACCAACACAACCAGCGTAAATTATCTTGTAGATTCTTACTCCCAACATGTTGAGTGTAGACAATGTGGCCGTGGCGCCGGCGAGCCACGAGTGCGTGGACGTGAAGTGGTCCTTACCGAACGCGTTCTTGGTCATGTACGCTGCCGCACCGCCGACACTCAGTAGCAGCATCGCCAGCATTTGAGAGAACATGTGCAGCTGGGACAGGAAGACCCTGTTACCACAGCAACGACGTCAATCTGCAGTCTCCAAGCGCTTGGAAGAGATTCAAGCCACCGACCGAGTCTTGAAGTGCGTCACGGTCTTGCGCTCCACCATGACGTAGATACCTAGTGGAAAGCACAGTAGGAAGGCGACGGCGTTGGCAGCGGGGTGCACGGCGAACAGTGAGGGCGCAGCCGCACACCTGGACAGGATGGTGGCGCAGGGGGCGCCCAGTAGGCCGCACAGCACCAGTAGCTCCAGCTTCTTAACCATCGAGGCTTGGTTTGGATGTGTTGTGACAGCACCACCGGGAGCTACAAAAGGGGTACCGTAAATTTTAACAGTGTTTTTGTATGGGTTACCCTGTCGTAACCACGCATAACCATGATGTCATGCCAATCAAGCGGTTCATGTCATCAACTACTCTATCAGATATAGCAATATATCATGTTACTCAGGTCGCGTCGAGTACTGGAACACTTGCAGTGATATCAGGTTTCTCAGGGTTCATTTAGAAAAGGCTTTACTGTAAATCCTTGAGATTAAGTGGAAGTTGACGAAAGTTTTCCCTTTTCCAACGGTTGAGAACGGGCCTTAGCACGAGTGAAAACCCTATGATCCACGTGCACTGCGACGATGAACACCGCGAGCTGGAATTGCCGGCGGCATTTTTGCCTCGCCATAAACGTCCCATGAACTAGTTTGCAGTACTTAAAGTAAGGGAAGCCAATTCGGGGCAGGAATGCCAATTAGGGTTCTCTTGGACAATGCAAAACAATCACAACTTGTGATTGACCAGTTATTTATAAGGTACCTATAAGAGGCAAGGCCGGGCCACATAGTGAGATCAAGTTAATTCTGGGAGGACAGCTAGATGAGCTGGATGGACAACCTCATACAGATTAATTCGTTCCAAAAGAGTTGGCTGTAGCACATGCAACTATCAGACCACATCTCGACACACAGCATTTACACAACTTAATGACACATTACATTAATACAAACTACATCGCGCTCCTGCAAACAGTTTAAAACATCACAAAAAGGAAACGTGAATCGCACATTAAAATCACTTCCGTCTTGGCTCCAAAGGCCAGTTGCAATACCATTACAGCATGGGCGTCGTGTATTTAGTGTGATGTAGCAGAGGAAGCTTAGTACTTAGAAGTAAAATTGAAAAAGTGAATTATTTTCTTGTTAACTACTCTATTGTAGCTAAGCGTCACCACGGATGACCTTGTCGTGGTCGTGAACATGTACGTGAACATGTATGACCTCGACAAGTCCGTAAACGTAAAAGTAAACCTCGTGGTCTGTAACGGGGTACGAACCGCAAGTGTACCCAAGTTACATGAAGAGTGACCAGTCACTCTTGTAATACCTGGTACATGGTACCAGCGTCTTTAGGAGCTAATCATTGCATATCTACCTAGATTCAGTATAGGTGATTTATAGTTTGTATTAGAAACCAAACTAAGCTTACCTATAAATACATTTAGTCTTAATCGTACCCTCAAGTGAGTACTTGTCCCCTCAGACCAGGGACACGTGAACGGTCGTTCACTTAGAGTTTGTATACTCTCGGAAGTTAACTTCCTCTGCACAAGGTACTGTGTGACCCCGTCACGCTTGGTAGCACTTGGATCGGAACGAGTTTCCTCACCTGAACGACTCACAGTTCGAGTCGGTTCGGAAGATGGCGGGCATCTTCGGGATGCAGGCCTTGCAAAGCCTGGTGGCGTCAACACCGGCTGAGCAGGTCGAACGTGTCAATGCGTTTGACACGTATGACCAAGGGCTCATAGCGCACGTGCGGGGATACCCGCAGGCGCCGGCGGCAGAAGGAAAGCCACCTCACCCGAAGTCATTGCGGCTAAAGGTGACACCTTACGAAGGGAAAGAGGGAGAGAACCTTCACTTCTGGGTTCGAGAGGTAGAGCTCGCGATGAATGCGGTTTTGATCTCGACTGAGCAACTCCGCGTTGCTTTTGCACTCTCCAACCTTAGCTGTCGTGCTAAGAGTTGGGCGTACACGCGGGAGGCGACATCGCCTGGATGTTTCACATCCTGGGCTCAGCTGTGTGAACAGCTTCGAGCCGCGTTCCTCCCGGCGAACTATGAGTATCGCCAGCGCTCACGCTTTCCTTGTTTGCATGAGAGGAAGCGTGAGCTGCACGAGTACATCCAAGAGATGCGGGAGCTGACGGCATCCCTAGTGGGAGCGATGAGTTTGAAGCAGACATGTGTTGGTCCATTCTCATAACTTTTTTTCACTTCAACTGGCCGTATGACGATCTCACACAACGATCCATACAAATTGGTTACTTTCAGCCATGTGTCAGTTAGAGATCCATGAGAGAGAACTTTGTTTTTTAGGACGTAGCCCGCAAGAGATGATGGTAAAGGAGGAAGATATGTAGCACTCCGCTCGTGATTTCACTTCACTGCGTACGCAAAAAATGACAGTAAATGATAGTTGTGGTTCTGACGTCACCGCTCCAAATGGGAAATCGTACTAGCCAATCCATTCGGGGACATTATACCTTCATGAACGTGTTCCAGTAGCCGTCTAGACAACTCAGTATTCTTGCGTGATACGAAAGGTAGATGAACCATCACATCCGGGTTGGACTCTGCAAAATACGAACTTAGTGTTGAAAACGTGGTAGAATTGTTAGAGCTACACTGGCACTTAACGTATAAAACGTTAATATTGAATTCCACGTCTTCCACGACCCGTTGTTTGTAGTCTTTCCCACGTGGAACACATGTACAGTTTCGAACAACACAGAATGGCTTTCCAGATTGAGTCAAACATTCAGGAATCTACACGAGAAGAGGGCGAGAAAATAGTGAAACCAAAGACGAATCGGAAACTTCAAATTCAGGACACACTAGCTGAGGTGCGAAAGACTTCTTGTCCAATGCTTGTTTAGCTAATCTGCTTCGTTCCTTGGGCTGAATGTAATCCGCATCGTTAGCACCGAGGCCGCTTTGCTGCGCCATGCGTCTTTTCAAAATGTAATCTCTATTGAACTGTCCGATAAGAATTCTAAAGTTAAATAAATTTTCGGAAGTTCTTATCGGAAGTCGGAATTAATCGGCTCCCGTATTTCCAATAAATCGGTATGACGATGCGATTCTTCGGCGGGTTTAAGCTGTTCTCACGCTTTCGCTTTACGATAAAGCCTATGCGGGACCCTATTTGAGTGTTCAAGAAATTTTGTCAGTGACCGTTAGTTGGACAGAAAACAAAAAAAAGTCAAAGTAGTTTTGTTTTAGAATGGCTAGCCTCGTTGAGAACAGAACAATGTACGTGAAGCACCATTTGCACCGCCTAGTGCTCTTAACTCATACACAATATTCATCCAACTATAATACCTATGAATAATGGTAATGACACGTAACTAAGGAACATTTTTTATTTAACGTTCATCTAAGGAGTCTCGTTAATCGCACGATATGGTGCGCGAAATACTCCCGTATCTGCTCCGTTGCAGACTGAAACTTGCAGTTCCATTACAGCATGCGAGTCGTGGAATTAGCGTCATTCTTAAAACTGAGAGGTTAGAGCGCAACGCAACTCAAAAAGCGTTTTCAGCCTCAAACGAGAATAAACATTACCCTACGCTGAGGGACCTCACCACCAGAGATATCTCGAAATCAAGGCTGTATTGTATAAATTAGATACTTTGAAATTTGAGAATAATACATAAAGACGTTGTCTGATTCAGTAGCGGTGTGAAGTTGCAATTCTTATACTTCTTCGGCGCGTAAGCCCGCCGAAGAAGTAGCCCCCCCCCCCCCCCCGCGCGCGCTCTCACTCTACCACGATAAACGGGCATGCTGTTCCAGTCGGTCTAGCACAAACACCACCGCAATTTAGTCCTCGTGTTGGACAATAGCATACGTTGCATCGTGATTCACGGTGACATTCAGCTAAGGATTGACTCTCCTCATCACCGACTTCATTGCTGTTTGTGGCCGAATTCCAAGTGGCTGCTGTTGACTATCGGTAGTGGACCGCAGCATTCGTTTCTGTGTAATTCAAAGAGAAATTAGCGTTACCTCAGCTCAAAGGGACAGCCACATGAAGAACCCCGGACCTTGACTTCAACTTTCAACCTTAGCATATGAACTCTTGCTAAATTTCAGAGCAACTTCAGGTGAAGCACGACTTTGTTAGTAGTTGAATAGTTAGTTTGAGGTGCAGCATTCCCTCAGAGTGACAGGTGTAAAAAAAAATCAGCTCCATTGCTATTTAAAATGTACTTTATGACTGCAAACTTTGCATTTTTACTCCGTACTGTATTCTGACCAAACTTGTGGAGATTTAAAAAAAAATGATAATACATGTATTCAGTTTTACCACATTATCTTTTCATAAAAAAAGTACAAGGATAATGGGATGTCCTTTACATTTCCCGCAACCACGATTAGGCAATGCACATGTAACACTGAAGCCGTGCATCGTGCCGAGGCCGCGATTTAGGGATGTCTGGCACAGTTTCTTGTTGCAGGCCATTCGGAATTATTCTCATCACCCAACAAGTACAAGGGGAAGGTTGCTGTTCACTACTTCACCATGCGCTTGGTCGTTATCGTGTTAGCCATAGTAGCCACTACTATTGCAAGCGGAAATGCCCTCCCTTCGGTCCAGGGCAAGGTCCATGCTGCTGGACTACCCGAATCAACCAACAGGCTTCGCACCGTAGAAGACAACAATTCGAAGAATTCCGACAGGGGTAATTCTGTCAACGATCGCAATATCGAAGGGGAAAGCGGGAACTCGCTCGGGGATGACGGCTTAACCGAAGAAGAACGAGGCCTTGTTTCCTGGTATTTCCTGTTGGGGCCGTTGTCCAAGTCTCGCAGCAAAGTCGAAGCGGCCGAAAGGCTTCCAAGACATCGTATAATACGTCCAATTCTCTCGAAGATAAAGAGTAGCAACGAGAAGTTGGCCAATGCCAACAAGGCCATAAACAAATCTTAAGGTCAAGCACACTGGACAGGTTTACAAACGTAAGACATATAACTCGAAAGTGGGCACTAGTAAGGACTGCTAACGAGAAAACAAAAATCTTACAGAAGCCATTGCAACACCGTACCGAAGCTAAGATTAGCAAATTGCTGTCTTTTGAATACAACAACTTACCTGTGGACATTATATTATGGCCACGTAATTCGTATACCGTTTTGTCATTTTTTTTACGCAGAACTGCTCAGCACAAGCTTTACGAACTGCAGCAAGTACGCTGCTGCCCGGGAGCTGGTCATCTCGAACGGCAACCGTCACTGGCAGTGGGTTACTGCCTTACTGATAGTTATCACTAAACACACGGCGGACGATATTTGCAACCTATTTACTGCAACAAAATTGGTACGTCTATTTTGACAGTGTTTTTGTATGGGATTCAGTTATTGATAACCACGCTTTGCTTGTTCTCTAGATTCACAACAACTTCCGCGACTTCATGCCACTTTGGCCACTTTTACTTGCACTTTGTTCGCTCGGCGGTGCAGAACAAGCGATTTTCCTACTAGCGCTACATGCGCTGCGATGATGAGCACTGTAAGTTGGAATTGCCGCTCAGGAGTGAAGTTCTGGACCCCCCACGAGCTCGTCTGCAGACCGTAGAGCATGGTGACCACGGCACCGATGTAGACCAGTACACCCGTGAGCACATGCGTATCGTCCTTCCATTGCCAGTTGGGGTTTGTCCCCTCGAACGTCAGCAATAGCCCCTGGAACACGTTGAGCGTGAAGAACATGCCCGTTACCAGAGCCGCCCACGAGTGCGGTGTCGTAAAGTGTTCGCCGCCTGAGTCACGTTTAGTGATAAATATTGCGGCACCAGCAACAGCCACCAACACTCCAGCCAACACGTTTAGAAACAGATGCAGCTTGGTCAACCAAACACTAGAATGAAACACATATAACTTCGTCAATATCGCGCATATTCCAGTGCGAGAATACGCACTGGGTACCGTTTTGCGTGGTCTGTTTCGTCTTTTCGCTGCAACATCGCTTGCAGCGCGCTGTTTGAAATACAAACCATCGGAATTTAGTGTCAAAGAGACGAAGGGGATTCAAGTCAATTGTAGTGCTGCTACGTACGTGGGCAGACAAACAAGCATCGCTACCGCATTCAGTGCCGGGTGTAGAGCGAACAGCGACCCATCCGCGACGCAGCGCTCCAGAATGATCGCGCACGGCAGCAAGAAGAGCGCTGCCGTCAACGCATGCTCCGCCATCCTGATTATTGACCTGATTTCAAAGTGTGCCACATCAAATTTTATCGCTAAGGTAAATGGCTACACATTTTTGAGATTAACCTTCGGTTCTCTAAAGCGAGCGAAAATCTCATCCATGGGCTTGTAAATCGTTTATGTTACGAGTCTGGATCTCATTGCGTCAGTGCCACATCGTTGCTACGCGTACCTCATCGAAGAACATCCAGTGATATTTTTCATACATCTTAGATCTCGGATCGGTTTTGACGTGCGTTCCGTGATGCTTAACAAGTCCTTGATAGCGTCAAGCTTCACCTTGTCTTTATTAAACACCATCCGCAGGAAATCGCCGCCGAGATATTTGAGTTCTCTGGTTTCTTTGAGCGATCGGAAGAGCAAAGTCAGATGTGCCTCCTGTTCTCGTTCTGATCTTGACGACAACAACTTCTCGTAATCTGAATATCGGTGAACCAATCATCCGTGGAGGATCTGTACATGCGAACATACCGAAGCCACTGGAGCAGCGCGGTATATGTGAGCTTTGCCCTCTAAGACTTAGCAGGTTGAAAGCCGTCTTAGGGTCTACACGTTCGTAGCTGTCGGACTGATCTTGGACGCAAGCTCTGCGATCTTGGCTAGACTCGGTACCCACTCTTTTGTCAACCCCAAACGTAGCTGCGTGCCTATGAATGCTTCGGCTGGTTTGTCAGTAGTTGTCTTCTGCTTCTTCGTGCTCGGTACATGTTGCTGATTTGGGACTTCTTTGACGTCGAGCTCATCGTTCTCAAAACAAGAGTGAAAGTTGAAGTTTTTTTTTTTTTGCAGTCCCTGTTGGAAACGATTGGTGTGTTCTCGGTAAGGACTTTACGGTCATAAATTTCAATCAATAGTTGCAGTATGTATTATACAGCTATGTACTTTCGTGCTAACTTGAAATTTGTGCTTTCAAATTATTTACTCTGTGTGGTCTACATAAATGGATACACTCCTTTTGACTTCCTGGCGATATCGCTACACTAAGTGCGATTTGATTGCGAATCACTTGCACTCAGTATGCTCTCGAATATTCGCGATTTGCTCTGGAACGTCCCAGACTGTCTCAGTCAGAGTGATGGTCACTCAAGTTGACCACTTCAACGCTCCTCATTATTCAATCTGCCAACTGACAAGCAAGTCAAACAATAACAGTCACAAACGTACAGCAATCAACAGCTCCCCACCCGACACTCGAGACAACAATGGAGGCCCAGACATCCCACGAGAAGAACCGACTGCAGACCATCGAGCAGAAGGTCAAAGACGTGGAGCACAAGCTCAACACGCGACTTCCAGCCCAGTACCGTCACGTTGCCGCTATGGTGTGCGGTACCAAGTGGCGTCTACTGACATTCAAGCCACAAGACGCCGCCTCCGTCGTCAAGAAGATGCGTCTGGAGCTCGGAGCCTTCGACTACCGCGTTAAGGAGCAGGCGGAGCTGCTCACACGCTACCTGATCGACTTGGACGGTGTATTGAGCTACGGAGACGCCGACATCAAGAACGCTCGCAAGGCATTGGTAGTGTTCATCCAGCAGCTGCTGCCTCAGGCCGACGCCTTCAAGGAGCGCAGTGCCAAACTCAAACAGTTCGGAGAGCACGCTCTCGACGGCTTGGAAGGCCCAACACCAGCGCCCTCGACGCCAATCGACAGTGGTGCTGAGTCCGACGATATGCACGTGAAGAATCTGTTTGAGGAGAGCGAGGAGGAAGAAGATGACAGCGAATCAGAGGCTGAAGAACAGGAAGACGTCAATGAAGACCAAGAAATGGAGCAGCCAATTGACGGCACGGAAGACGAGCCCATGGAGCCCGACGTTGAGGCTGACGATGAAGCTGAAGACGAGGAAGAAGAAGTTGCTCCTCCGAAGAAGTCGCCACGACTCCAGCCAGCTTCTAACCCGCAGACTCACGCCATCGACGTCAACTCATTGCCTGTGTGGCGACCGTACTACACCCTACAGCGTCGCCAGGACGGCATCTACCTCATGGCGCGGCTCAACAATACTGACCCACGTAACGTCCGTGTGCAGTGGAACGAGCACAATGGTGTGCTTCGCATCGCTGGTTTCCGATTGCCAACCCAGAAGGACATCGTGATGTCACGTCTCAGTGGTGCACCAACTTTCGGCCGCTTCGAGATCGTTGAGCAGTTCCCAGTGAATATGCTCAACATGGAGGAGGCCACACAGCAGATCTTCGAGGACGGTACTCTGCAGATCCGCATGCCATACTACGCGATGCAATATCCATTGCGGTACCGCCCAGCGTCGCTCTTCCAACCGCAGGACTGCTTTGTATGGTAAATGGATACAGTATCATGTACATGTACAATAGAGAAGGTATTTTGTTTACCAAAATAAATTCCCTTTGAAATTCTCAAACCTTGCATTATAGTGGGTAAGTTAATGCACATGATTCAACTGACCAGCTATTTCTTCACCAAATACGTAATGCCACCAGCTAGGCCAGCCAACGTGAGCAGCAATAGTGCCGCATTGATAGCTGCCATGCCTCCAGACCCTCCAGACGGAAGACCCCCCATTGCATCAATAGTCCCAGGCACCACTGGAACATGTCCACCATTCCCCCCATGAACACCCGCCCCAGCAATCACAAGTACCACATTCATCAACCTCTCTTCTTCGTTCACCTTGTGCTGCCCACGGAGATGTTGAATTCTCTTGATTGCCTTGAAGACTTTCCTCGTGTCAAACTTAAGTATCACATGTTCGTTCGTAGCAACATCCTTGGCGCTGGTGAAGTCACTGCAGCACGAGCTAAATGCAACCAGAACCAGAGCACAATAGAGAACCCGGCGCATTCTTGTAGTTGTGGAAAGAAAGAAGACGGATGACCGATGGCAGGAAGGTGTTGGAATGACGCCCCTATTGTCTGAGGCTCAGCCTTCGGTGGTAGGATTACGTGTTCTTGCGAAACACATAACATTAAAATAATAGTACGACAGCTTCCTGTTGTGGCATAAAGTCAATGACGTCTCGCCTACATCGCCGTAAAAAAATCATCGATGCTGCGATTCAAGATCGGCATGCACCACGCACCCTCGAACGTTGAAGTGCGTACCAACTTGCAGTTTTTCGCGATAAAAACGAAAGCTATTGCTCTGTGTTCAACTATCAAAGAATGAATAGGCTCTGTTGCCTCTCAGCTTGTAGCCAGTACTCTATTATTACGGTGAATTTTTTTTGTTTTGTCAGATTTACTAGATTGCTGTTCCCCCAGGTCTTCGTGCGATGACGAGCGTTAAACTGAGTAATACTCACGAAATGGTCTTCGCTAAGTAAACCAACGAGTCTCCGCTTGTCGGTGAATGTGCTCGGAAGCATAGATCTGTGTTCAAAACTCACTACATCACGAAAACGCCATCGTGACTCTCCAAGCTTAAACTTCTGGAACCATTCCCCTTACCTTGCGTATTTCCCGAGAAAATATTCGGTAGACGTCGTCAAAGTGACTCCTCTAGCGGCCATGTCACGCAGGAATTGCTGTAATACAAAACACCGAGCACAGTCAACACTGTGATGAGTATAGTTCCTGTCATAAGATGTGGTCAAGTTGTACCTTAGCAGGTTCCTCGAAGCCTGGCACCAGCAATCCGTCAAAATAAAGAGGTCACTAAGCCTTTTCTTGGGCCAAGCTGCCACAAGATCGCGAATGGTATAGTTCACACAGTGTGAGAGCGCTTCACCCACGATAACGACCTTGTTCGCCCGCTAAAGGGACTTAATCAGCTTCTTATTGAGGCGGACAAATATTAACATACAGGTCAATCACTATATCGATTGGTTTCCATTGTCGTCGATCTTACCTTGTCGACGGGTCATACGGCAGCTCGTATTCAGCCTTGAGCACCGAATAGTGTTCTGTGAACGGGTTGCTACCTTTCATCACGTATTGGATCGGCTTCAGAGTCCTTTTCGTCCACTCCATTGCCGCGGCCAACACATTTGGGACTATATTGTGTCCCGGGGATCCGATCAAGCAGTGCTCGGGCCAGATTGTCAGCGAGAATTTTCCAGTCGCTTCCAGCGCCTTCGTATACGTCAGAACGTAGTCACTTAAGCTGGAGTCACGTGGCCTCCAGACGCCCTTCTTAATATCCTTGGACGTGATTGTCGTAAATGGTGGAGGCGATTCCCCAGCGTCGTTCATCCAGAAGATACCGTGCGCGATGTGGTACCTCTGATGCGAGTCCATGGTGAGGATAATTTGGGACAACTCGGACGTGTGGTTCGTGATGAAGGCTGCGATCCGAGCGGCGTCTTCGTTGGCAGTTGGGATAGCAAGTGAACCTCCAGGATGGAAGCTCACTTGCTGGTCGATGACTAGGATGGCCAAGCCCCCCAAAGGGATCGATCCAGCTAATTCCGCATCGTCGACCACATCGTGCTTGACGAATTCGCTGTATACGGTCTCGATTGTCGACGCAATGACGGCAGGAGGGATAATTGCCAGTGACGGAATCAGTAGTATAGCTAGACAAGCAAAGATTTTGACGATCTTGTTCATGACTTCGTGGTTTACTTGTGTCAAACAGATTGAATAATGACAACAGGAGTCTCCTGGTCAAGCACAAAGAAATCTGTACGTGCGCCTTTTGAGGACACGTTCTAGCCGCACGATCATTTGATGGCATCAACTCTTTTGATAACGGATCAATAAGGTTTAACTTAAGGAACGGATCTGGAATCCAGATCCGTTCCATAAGTTCTGGATTGATCTTTACGTTACGGATATTGGCTGGAAGTGCTGACTCAACGTCAACTACTGGTCGTCTTTCGTACAGGGACGAGCTGCTAAGTACGTTAACATGGATTCTTGACTGGATCAGTTCATCATCTCCAAGAAGAGCGCCAAGGTGGTCATTGCGATGATCGATACGACAATGCCACTGGGTAGTTCCGTCACCGCCAAGTTCTTTCCGTCGGTCATGGTGGCATCTCCGTCGATCGCGCCTTTCAGATCACCACTCGCTGAGTCATCATTTTGGTCGATCACATCGGTCTCGTCGCTCATGGAGCTCAGCTTAGGAGATGGCGTGAGGTCGCTTCCGACGTCTGGGAACGAGGATTCTTCTTCACGGGTACGATCATTCGCGCTTGATTCATTCGAGGAGAAAGGCGGTCCACCGCTGGAGGACGCACGAGCAGCCAGAGCTTCGATGAACATCGCGAATTTGGAGAAGTCTTTTGTGTCAGGGTTGTCCTTCATCATCACTGCAGCCACTTCAGTGAGAAAGTCGGTCACCTCGGACTCGTTGTCCTCGCGTTGGAGGTGACGTTCGAGCAAACTTGAACGCGGCACACGCTGCTCGAAGGTAAAAGCGTCGACATTTGTCGACAGTAGGAACAGAACAGCTACGAATCGGAAAACGACGTTCATGTTGCAGTGGCCAGTTGAGGAACAGTAAAACGCTTTTCTGGACTTGGAATGGCCTTGGTGGAGCTCTTGAGTTCTGCACTGCAAATTTAAGAGTGAGCCCGTTGCTTCGTAGTCGTGAATGGCTGCTAGTGGATCAAGCGAGAAAGTACCGCGCTTTTCTTCGACTTGTTGCCGGGTTTTCTTCTCAAACAGTACCATGTTCTTCTCGAGACAGGACACAACATTCTTGATGAGCTCGAAGAGTTTGACCATGTGTGTCGGGATAATGCCGCTATACGTACGTAGCAGGAATCTACGAACGGTAACACCTTCAAGAACAGCATCTCGTTAGAGCGTATATATTCTGAAAGCTGCCAAACATCATACTATATCACGAACGGACCAGCATCTCCAACCGCTGCCGTCTCGGCCTTCAGACTTCTTGTCTTCCATTGGCAATAAACCGATTTAAACTGTTTTAGGGGTATTGCAATTGTAACTTCCACAACAGCACAGATTCATCGAACGGGGTTCTATGTTCATCGTATCCTAAGATGATAGCATAGAGGACTCCACTACCTGGTCGAGGAAAGTATTCTGCATGAGCTGCAAAATCTGTCGGGATTTTTCTGTAATCGCCCTCATCACCAGGTTCCGAGTAGATTCTTGTTGATGAGTAAACCCCATTCCAGGGCTTTTGACTTCGAGTAGATAATATGTTCGAACGATGCAGGAATGCTCTGGCTCTGCAGGCGATGGCTCGATCACCGTCCAATGCTTGTCCACAAACTCGAGACCGTCAGCAGGTACAAGCCACCTCGCTTGAGCAACCAGATGAACTCGATTCTTGTCTTCGTATTTTCGATACACACCGAGTGCTTTGACGTAATGAGGGGCATCCAACTGGCCATTTTGAATGAAAAGGTGCGCTACACAGCGTCGGTCGTAAGGTGTCTGAGCTTTCTTGGAGCTTTGGAGTTGATTCTACAAAACATTCACAGAAAATGGTTAACTCACATTCGAGAATTCTCTTCTAGTGCAGACGTACGATGTTGAAGTCCGGCTCATGGCTCGAGGCGTCCTGCCTTGTGATGTAGTGCCACAAAAGTCACCCAGCTTCTTGAACTGAGCACGCGAGTGGTGTACTTGACGTGATTTCAATGCGAGTTTCACGGTCTCCATTGCTTTTCGCTTGGGTGGAGAAGGAGACCGTGAGGGTGTCGCCTCGATTCGGGAGCACCAAATCTGCTCGA